CAGCCCTGCTTGGCGCTGTGTTCTGGACAATGTTCCTGAATCTCCTCACACAGTAGTATCACCTGGGTGCTTTCCCAGCGTAGAGATTCTCAGGCTTCATCTTTAAATCTTTACATTTTAAGGTAGGAAATAGACCTATATAAACTCAGTAAACACTTTAATTGGAAACTCCTGGTCAAATGGAGCATATCTTGAAATATGTGAGAGAAGGGTAAATTCTCTAGCTTTGCCTCATCTCAGACTTATAGATTATGCAGAATTCTTTATCATAATAATTATAGACTCTATATTACACTACTGTTTGCTATGGCTTAGATCTAAAATGTCCCCCAACAGTGTCACATTCAAAGGTGGGCAGGTAGGTCACAGGGATGAGGCTGGGAGAGGAATTTACTCGCCCTACCTCCACCCTTCCCTGCTTCCTGACCGCTGCACTGTGCACAGTTCTGTCACTCCACTTTCTGCCATGCGGCGTCTGCCTTGGAGTCAGCCAACCATGGATCTGTGAATCCACTGAAACTGAACGCAGAAATAACCCTTTGCTTTAAGTCCTGAGTATTTTGTCCCAGTGATGGGAAATCTGACCATGAAAACACAGCCCTGCCCAGATGGAAAGTTCAATCTGAAAAATCAAGTATAAAAAAAATTAAGTGTTTCCTCAGAACCATTATTCTAGTACTAGTGCTCATTATTTCTGATGAGTTTTTGCTAAAACCTCCACATACCATTGATCATCCATGGTGAGACAGAGGTGGGTTGTGCTCAGCCATATGGGATGTCAAGTAGTCCTGTACACGCTAAAAATGACAAGCCACTACAGAGACAATACTCATTCCATTTCCCATTCAGTGACATGGAATGGATCTTTATTAAGGCCACAGGGGAAAGATTTATTTCTGCTGCAACAGCTATTGATGCATCTGGAATGGTTCTGAGCCTAACGACTCCGTGGGTTCCTATCCGAGTCAGACTGAGTTGCTGTAATAACCCACAAGGCCAGTGGCTCATCAATGGAAAAGATTATTTCGCACAGCTCTGGACGCTGGAATTCTGAGGTGAGGGTCGAGCTTGGTCAAGTTCCGGTGAAGGCCCACTCCCAAGCTCCACATGGTTGGCTTCTCCTGTCCTCAAGATGGGAGAGACCAAGGTAGCTTTCTAGACCCTTCTTGTAAGCACAACAATCCCTTTCACAAGGCTTCCATCCTTATGACCTAATTATCTTCCCAATAGTCCACCCCCAAGTAGCATCACACTGGAATTTTGAATTGAAAGTATGAATTTGGGGGGGGGCACAAAGACTCAATTTATAACAGTTTTTATTTCACATTATGTGGTTTACAACCTAGAATTTGAGTAAATAACTGTCCTCATCAGCTGGCTCTGAGAATTTGTCCTTAAGTGGTACTCTGTGTACTATAAATGTGACAGTTCTGGGCCAACCAGGCCACCTGGTCAACCCTGGTAAAGCCTACAAGCTATGCTTCCACTTCACTCTCCCTCCACGGCCTTTCTTAATGGCCAAGACATCCAGCAAACCTTTCTGCAGTTCCTGTCCCTCACCCCCCCCATCCATGTCTCCATCCCACACAGTCTCAGGCTGTGAATGTGATGTATAAGCATGTTCTTCCTTCTAAAGTGAGAGGGTGGAGCCTACTGGCCCCAGACTGTGAGTTATAAGACTCATATTCTGTGAGCTTCTCACTGATAAAATTAAGATAAAGCACAGTAATGGAGAACTTGACTAATTTAAGACACACTCCACTTAACAAGTCAACCCCCATGCTTGTGATTATTTAGGAAATATGCAGATTCCAGGACTTCCATCTCAGACCATCTAAAGATAAGCCTGAGAATCTCCATGTTGGAAATGCTTCCTGGTGTTTATGACATGAAGAAAGTTCTAGAACACTACTGAGAAGAAAGTGTTCATATAGGACGGCCATAAAATGTGTTCTTGCTTCAGGTTCAAGTTATAGTTGGATTTCTTGTATAAGAAGCATTTATACGTCGTACTAGTTGTGAGAAAGACCTTTACAACTCATAAACTCAAGTTAAGGTCCAATATTATGATACTGAAATCTACAGCCTCCTAAACTTTGCTTAGACCATTATTCCAGATGATCATTGCAAAAGTTGATTAACAGCATATAAGTCATGCCTTAATTAAGTCTAAAGTGAGTTTAAAATCTAAGAGGCATCAGTTTGTATTTATGAATGTTTACTATTAACAGTTAGATGGTAGTATATCAGACACTGTTGTAAAAATCTCTTTGTGAAATTTTGTCTTTTCACGGCCTCAACAAGTAACAAATGCATAGATAGACAGATAGATAGATAGATAGATAGATAGATGGCTTAAGACTAAATACTAGACTTTAAGAAAGACAAAACTGTTTTCAAGGGCTGGTGAGACAGCTCATTGGACTAAGCACCTGCTTAGGCAAGTACAGGGACTGCAGTTTGATCCCTGGTACCAAATGCCGTGCTGGCCCTGCCCTCGGGCGTGCTGAGCCAGAGAATGAGTACAGGCATTGTGGCACACGCATGTAATCCCAGCACTGGGGAGGCTGAAAACAGAAGAATCACTATGAGTCCAAGCTGCATAGTAAGACACTGTACCAAATACATAAAAATAAATAAATAAAACTTTTCAAATTACTATAATCTTGTATGGCCTAAGGCATTTATGCTAATCTTATGCAACAATCTTCTCACCAGAGACTTACTCACCCACAAAAAAGCCTACAGTGCCAAAATACTCAAAGATCACTTGAGAAATCCATTTGGAAGCCACAAGTTAAGGACTGCTGATTTGAGCATAACTTTCTTCTTTATGAGTGATGCATAGATTAGAAAATGTAGGTGCCGGGGAGACGGCTCAGTAGAATAAATGCTTCCCTGGCAAGCACAAGGGCCTGAGTTCAATCCCCAGATCCACAAAAAA